ATAGTTTCAATAACCCAAACCATCAGCTGTAATATACATCCTTCCTGTTCGAATTTCCACCACCCAAAACGAACCACCCCATAATTTCCGTTGCCTCTACACTGCATTGTACTCCAGTGCACATAGAATCACAGTGAAGATATCCATACTACCACACATTATTTTACGATTCCATGTACAATAGGTCGTATTGCATATCAATTTCGATGAGAACGTCCAGCATACACCCATCAAAAAACATTACTTGCTCACTTGTTGTAGTTCGTAGCTGTAAAAGCGACATTAATTTCAAGCGTCATCCGCAACCAGCAGCGTGCTCACGAATCACAGTTGGACAGCCTTTTAATAATTTTATCACTAACGTCGATCAAAAGGAACAGGTGCTGAGGGGAGAAAACGACAGCAAACAAAACAACTCAACAAAAGAGGCAGAGGAAAATCAGGTCAGTAACACGCCATCAAATTGTGTTTGTCGCCGACAAAACATTTCTTCTGCTAAGTCCAGCACAAACAATGCACGCAGATGATACGTATCATTGACAGCTGAACATGCCTGATTAGTCATGATTCCAAGCCGATGGGAAACCCTACAACTCGCGACAAGGATTCTTAATCACGAGATTGTAAAAAGACGACTTCCTACTGCCACTGAAGTCAAACCAAGCCAATTCCTCAATTGCGAGTCTCAGTGTTGAATATTCGTAATCAGTGACCAAGAGTTTGGACCGAGCTGCTCTAGCTACTTACAGCTGTATTCACGTGCGTGCGAGGAATCAAAATCCCTGCAAGCTTGCAAATCGTATAGGATTGAGAAAGCTCAACACCCGACACAAAAATATATATTTTCTTTTATATTATTTTCATTCCATTCCCAATCATGTCATGCCAGATTCACATCAGGTAAGAAGACATTGGAAATCACGCTGACCGCAACGGAAGGAAGTAAGCGCAAAAGGTAGACTGGAGCTGACAAGCAAACCGAAGCAGAAACTGAGATCAGGTACCTGCAAGCGGTATCCATGATGGCACTGCCGAAGAGAGAAGTCGTGAAGAGGAGCGGGTGCAGGCGACCGACGCCTTGTGGGGAAAGCTGACTCCACGCACCGACTCGTCAAGCCTCACCACTGAAGGTGCACAGTAAACCAAGACTCGAAATCGCGAGGTCAAAGAACAATAGCAATTAGGGCCTGAACTGGGGATGCACCGCGCGGAGACCCACCGAGCGACAGACTAAGACAGCGGAAAATGGACATCGGCATCACTCCATGCAGGCATTGCAGCAACAAGTGGCGACGAGCTGGTGCAGCGGTGGCATGTGGAGAGCAAGACACGAAGACTTACACCCAATTGTATGGGGGGAGTAGCGGTAAAGGAAGGACCCACAAAGCGCAGAGAAGCAGGAGAGACGAAGAATGAGTCATCGAAAGCTGGACCGCGACTTCATGCCACCACCTGCTGCTGTTGTTGTTCTTGTTGCGATGCGTAGCGACGCAACGGATCTGTTGGAGGCATCCGCGTGGGAACATACTCTTTTTCTTTCTATTCTTTTTTGACCTTTTTTATGATGCAGCCACTGTAGAGCCATGGCAGTGCCAACTTATTAACAGCGTGGATTCTCCGGCTCCCCGTCGGAGCTGCATGACGCCAGTGATGGCCATGATGCTGCTCAGTGAACTCAATTCCCTTCAATTCCTTCAACTCCCACTGGCCCCATTACGCAGTGGACCTGGTCCCTGGCCGGTGAACCCATTTCGGCGGTGATGGGGCGCTAAGACCCAGGCGCACAAAGGTCCTCTTTTGGCTGCACTCCAACTCTCACTCTTCCTTCTTCTGAGAGTAGCAACTGTGGTCCATGTGGGTTTTTTCTCACTTCACTTGCCCTCACTTTTTTTTCCATTTTTTCACCCTTTTGGGGTTCTTGTGTTTGCACTTCATTGCTGGGAAAGTGTACGTTTTATTGCTTTCGATGGCCATTTCACCCATCTGTCTTGTTTACTGTTGGGACAAAGTTCACTGGCAAGCTTGCTGTCCATGATCATTAGTGAATAGTGATCATGCGTGGATGTGCATCCTCTATTCTTGGATGTGTTGGGTTTGGATCTTTTAGCTAAGATTTGCTTTTGTGTGAATTGAGTCGGATTGAGGGCATTCATTGGTTCTTTTTACTTGTGGATCATGCGTGGATGTGCATCCTCTATTCTCGGATGTGTTGGGTATGGATCTTTTAGCTAAGATTTGCTTTTGTGTGAATTGAGTCGGATTGAGGGCATTCATTGGTTCTTTTTACTTGTGGATCATGTGTGTATGTGAGACGCGCTTTAGAAAAATAAGATGAATTCTACCACTGTTAATGGTTGGTTGCTTCTTTTTCTAAACTTAGATGTTTTTCTTACGATTTTGTATTTACGACTGGTGTAATTTTTTTTTAATTTCTATTTTGTACAGTGTAGTTTGTTTTTAGAGTCATGGAATACAATATCAATGCTCAATTGTTCATTTCAACATCAAAATGGTGAGTGCCAAAATAATTTATTTTATTTTATTGTTTACCAAACTTTACAGTAATATTTTATAATCCGTCCATTAAACATAAGCTGATTTTAAATTTGAATTTTAAATCTTTTGCTTTGCCATTAATTATAAAACTTATCAAAATTTCACATTTTTGTGTGTGCATATATATATATATATATATATATACATACATATCAAATCAAATAAAATTTTGATGAGTTTATGTTTTGCATTTTGAAGACATTACATTTCAGTTCTAACCAATAAAATTAGTATGCTAAATGAAGAGACACAATTTCTTTTATTTGTGTCTAGTTACTAATTTTAAGTAACAATTGATACCAACAAGATAGACAGTGTGCTTATTAGCAAATTTATAATAACTGTAAATAAAATGTCATGTCCTAAAAATGTTTTTTTAATGTACATTATCAACAATAACTAATTGGAAGAACATTTTTAAAATCAAAGGATAACAGATTTAACAGATAGATTCAATCATTATCAGACCAATAAATAATGTAGACAAAGTCTCTTTCTGTGGAATAATATGTATGTTAGCATTAATTTAACAAATTAATGTTTATTTGAAATCAGCTACTCCCAACATTGAATGACTTAGTTTCGTTCATTTGAAAATTTGATGATCTCGTTAGCATCAGCAGCCTACTTTCAAACTGTTAAATCTCTCAAGTACATAGTGCGCTCTGGTTTTCTCTAAGCATCCTCATCCTACCCATGCAAATGTAGAAGCAGAGATTTACATGAAATCTGCTCCTGTTACGTTCTTAAACTACACAACTGTACCTGTGAATATCTGGCGAAGGCTGCTCTCTGGAAAATTCCTGCATATATACATTGCACTGGCGACAGAGTTGATACAATCTTCCTGCCAGAGGAATAAGTTCTTCATTTCCATCATCTAGTTGGAGTCCGTGCCTTTAGTCTTGTCGAAACGGTATGACTTACATAACCAGGGACGGTAGTCCTCGGACCCCTTCTGCTGCTCATACTACCAACTCGATGTTCTTGACGTTCTTCAACAGAAGTGGAATGCTTTGGATAAGGCTGTTTATCAGTATAGCTCGAATTACTCCTGAAGCTGTTGTTATCAGGGGTCCTGTGACCGACATTTCCCTGTTTTGAGGCCTTCACAGGTGACTCAACGATTCTTCCGTCATTATGACGTTGTTTGCTGTGCAAGTAAACCTCACACTTCACTATACTTTTGCTCACTCGAAACCCTGGAATCACTAAGAAACCGACCACTATATTCGCATCAGCATCTTCATCATCTTCGTCATAGCCTCCAGGCACCACAGACTCCATATACTTCCTCTCGAATGCTTCACCTCTGCTACATGTTAACATCTGCCATTTGTGCGGAAACGAATGTGTTAATCTGTGAAGTAACCACACAGACACAGCGACTTTCAAAAAACTTCGATAAAACTCCGAATCCGGATGCTGCTCTCCGGATACTATCCTCCAATCCTTTTCATAGATAGGGAAGGGCTGATTCGTGTCCGGATCACTACAGATTAACTTGAACTTCTCGAAGCAGTAATTCCCAATAGAATTATCATCTCTCATATGAGATAGTGGTTGATTGGATAGCAACATTGAGATGGTGGCGGCCTTGTCCTTGAAGCGGGTGAAATCAGCAAAGAAACTTTGTCGCGACCTATCATCGTTGCTCTCACAATATCCATTTTTTGTAGTAAAACAATCAAAAAGGAGGTTACATGTAAAAGCTTGAACCAGGAACTTCAAGTGATTCGTCCTTTCCACAGACCCTTCATGGCTGATCATGGACTCCAGTTTTTTCAATTCGCTCGAATGGTTCTTCATATGTGACATTAGCATCTTCGCGAAGGGATTTAAGGCAGATTTCACTGCCGTAACAGCCATCGATAGAAGTTTTGGAGACGGACCAGTGTCATCATCTAGGTATGACCCTGGGGGTGGACCTGAATAGTGATAAGAATCCTCCACTTTAGACCTATTCTGCCTGTCATAACTTGCACACCTTGTAGCTCCACTACCTGAACTTGCTGGTTCATTATTCTGGCGCTTCGAAGGTGTCACGGAAGAAGGCGGTGCGTAATACGTAGGACCGGAATTCGTATTCCACTCGCACTGAGGACTGATATCAGGTGTGTAATTACTCGACGGATGCGAGGGAGCAGAGTATGAACGTTGATTATCTACCGGCGAATGCAGGGAAGCATTGTATGGATATTCTTGCGACTGTTGCCTGGGATCAGAAAAACCACCACGGATTGGAGAGGGAGATCTTTGCTCTTTTCCTTCGAACACACCCTGTTTAAAATCAAGATACAGAATGTGAGGCGATCTACTCAACGTCACCCTACAGCAGAGTTAGAACGCTGAATCATTTCCGTGACGGACTATTACAAAGAAGTGGACAAATCTGGCGCTCAAAAGAGTTTTTGATGTAAATGAGCAACTGAAGGTGCTATCAGCTAAACTGAGTGATTACAACCATACAGCTGCTCACTCAGTTTTAAATATAGTTCTAGTATATGTTTAAGGTGATGTGCGCTGCATACCAACATCATCAACTCTTCTTGCAGTATCAAAACCAAGCTGAATCACAAGTGTCATTCACTCAGCAGAAGCTGTGACTTATTGTTTCTGCTCAGTAATCGTGAACAAAGCAGCATAACGTTGTCGCACGCAGACGACAGCTATCTTACGAACACTCTCAGTAATTGAACCATGGAAGTTGAACACAAATAGCACGAAGCGAACACAAAACTCGTGTATTCAATGCTTGATGTTACTCACCACAGGAAACGTCTTCTTCACGAATGCCAAACTACTTTGGAGAAATGATTTGGTATGTGGTCGATTGTCCCTCCTCTGGGATGTTGGAGATTGATTTGATAATCGAATGTTGGTAGAATCATCGTATGGGACCCGAATTCTGGTATAGGGTCTTGTTTCGACGTCTCTATTACTCCCACATATTCTCATGTTAAGCATGATTGAAGTTGGAGCTGGAAGGACGGTTCTTCCCTTTTCTGAAAGACGTACCTGGAGACTGACATGGGAAATGCAATCAGCACCAGGCACTTTTTCTAATCATGAATCTCTAAGATTATCACAAAAACCGTAAGAGAATCAGAACCCTGGTGTATACATTACACACTAGTCTTCATCACAAAACTTACGCGCACACGCTGAAAATAGCTCCCAAATATAGCATTTGCAACTTGGTCATGAAAATCTAGTCTTGTTCAAGTCTCTACTCCTGCCTTGCAACCATCATTCCTGATGAATGTTGATGTGCACGAGTGTGCCTAGAAGTAATGGTAAGATAGCCAGTGGCATCCAGGTAGCGAGTGGAGAGACACAGCGAAAGGCATTTTTTAACAGAGATGTACATATTCAACGACGGCATTCTGTTGAATAGGTTTAAAGATGTGGTTAGGAGACCTAAAGTGGTAATGAAGATCTAAAGTAGTAGTGAATCCTTTATCAGAAGCTGTATACTCTAGGATCACGAAATTTCTAAACCAAATGGACAGAAATATTGTAAGTTTCTCAATAAGATTAAGGAGGGACACGGACAGTAACATTAAAAAGACTAGAACTGCATTTCACCGCTTTTCTCCGAGACAGTTTTAAGCAGTCAAGAAGTACAATGACACGACAAGGATATTTACGTATGTGGATGTCTTCAATTCATTCTCCTCTACACTTCCATCACTTAGCTACAAAATAAAAAAAATAATAATTAATTTGCAGTTGCGCTTTCTGTAGCCGAGAAAACTTCGATTACCCCATCTGCTGTTATATCCTAACTGATCCGCCAACGAACGATCAGCCAAACCATATACTTGTATTTCGCTCTCCCTCTCTCTTCCTCTAGAAATAATACCTGAAGGTTAAGGAAGGTGGGAAGCATATCAAAACGCCCTCTCACGCATGCTACCGGAAGATCATATGTGGAGAGCACGTCTGAATACAGAGCAGGTTACCAGGTGCCAGTTCTTGAACTCAGCAACGAAGAAACAATAGCACTGTGGAGATCATTCCAGCATAACCCTTCAAGGAACGACTCAACACAGTCGGTAAAACAACGCTTGCAAGTCCCTATAATTTATCGAGGATAACTCAAAAAATCACATCAATGAGCTAGATCACGAAAAGCGCATCCACACTCTTATCCTCTTCAACAAAAGTCAAAAATCATCACTTCACATCACAAGAGACCACATCCCACCCATATAATCGGTAAGCCCCGATAACAACGACACAGAGCATCGGCAACGAACCTGTGAAGAGACGAGCTCTCGAAAGAGGAAAACCCCGCAAGCTCCTCGTCACTCAAATATAACGAACACTCTCTCGCGGCTCCTCTGTTCTTCCATCACAGACCCATTGTAAATCCCAACGCCCTCCCCGCCGGCCAAAATCAACCTCACGAACAACGCGGTAGATTGCAAACTTGCACCACCCGCTGATTCACGAATTTTATTCGTTTTTTTAAGTTCAAACAGAATTATCGAAAGAAACAACGTCGCAACGCCCCGCTCGCCGTTGTCGCTGCTCTCCTCCTCCGTTACAACGACAACAAAAACTCTACCGACTGACTGGAAAACGATAGACAGGGGTTGCAATGCACGCCTAGGAGCGTCAACGAAAAAGAAAAATAAAAAATCGAAAATCACAAAAAAGGAAAAAAGTAGGAAAAAAAAAAGGCGGACATGACGGCGTCGGTATCAGTGCGCAGCATCTCCCCGCGCGACCCGGTAATAGGTCCCCATCCCGTCAAACTCGTGGATTCTACTACATATTCGTTTTGTATACATGTTTCATTGATGCTCTCTTCCCATGAACGTGCGACCTTGTGGTTGTGGCATTGTCCACGCTGGCAGCTGACTAGGGTGCCATGTCAGCAAATTCCGCGGCAGCGTCGTTGTTTGCAATTATACAGTTTATTTGGCCTGGGAATCAATGGGCTTTTGCCACGATGTAAATGTGTGTACGTTGTTGTACGTGCCTCATTTTAAAATAAAAAAAATAAAAAAAATCTTATCTCAAAAAAAGTACAACTAATATCATGGGAGTTGTATCACTAACATTGATTGTTTCACTAACATTGAGTGGGTGATATTACGAACAATGATATTTTAGCGCTCTACTTATTCATATCTTAGAATTAAAAGTTTTTGTTTGTTTGATTCTTTTATTTTCTTTTGTTTACAGTTTTTTTTGCATTTTTTTTTTTTTTTTTTTTTTTTTTTTAAGTATGTTAGAGTTTGTAGATACTCGGAGAATGAATAAATAGATTGGTCACTTTGTCTATTTTTTATTTTTTTTTAACGGACAATGAACAAAAAAGACTACATATCTAACCATGGTTTTCTTGTTGTTATTAATGAAAATGATATGTTGTTAATATTACACAACATAATTGCATAAGTATTGTGCGCATGTGTACACATACTCATTCACAACTCTGTGTTTTTGTTTTCATTTGTAATAATTTTATCACTACAAAACACAAGATTAAGTAAATTTTTCAAATGCTTTAATTAATTCAGTACTAAATTTATAGTCATAAAATTTATTCAATATCAAGAATAAATGAACTAAATAATTTTTTTTGAACACTTTACATTATCTTATACTTTTACATGGACACCTATAAACTTTATTCTAAGACTATTACAGTATATACAAAGCTTTGCAAACATTGTGTTCTTTTGAAAATATACAAATTTTAGAAAATGATTAAAACACTCTAATAGTAGCATTTAAATGACTATTGACAACATGGATAAAAAAAATTACATATACACAAAGGTAATTTTATTATGCGCAAATTTTTAAACATTCTCAAGTGACAAGGATTGAAATCCAAAGATAATTTTAAGTGATACAAAGTTACTGCAATTTATATGATAAAACAAAAGTCATTTTGTTTATGTTACGTCAGATCTAATTTCACACTCTATGTCATATTTAAAATATGAAACAAAGTCATCCATATTGACTTTGTCTTATATCTACTAACTGAAATTAATGGTGTTGATTACAAGTGTCCAGAAATATGCTTGAGACTGATTATTGGTATGGAAATCAAGGTATGGAACAAGTATTGTTGATGCATTTGCAGAATACAAAATATTTCGTTTTTACAAGTTTTGACACAAAGATTTAGGATTTCGATTTTCATAAAAACTTAAAGACTTTTCAATTCTATTATTCTTATTTTACAAATTTCAGAAGAAAAAAAAATCAAATCTCTCTATTTTGCATTAATTTGTTAAATTTCAAAAATACTAAACATATAGAGGTTTATGCAAAAATATAATACATAAATAAATCAATAAAGATTTGGGATTTTTGATAAATATTTGTTAAAAGAATTTGATATATGATACAAAATAAAAAATAAGACTATCTGAGGTAATTTTTATTAATATTTCACTCAGTATTAAAAATAACCCACTAATTTAGTTACAGAATGTAAATGTATAATGCATAATACAGGTTTTCGTAAGATGAATTATTAAAAGAATGTAAAACAATATGTGTAATAATACGTAAAATGATAACATAAGAAAATAAAAATGATCTTTACAGATCGACTATAATATTTGGATCAAATGAAAATCATAACATTTTAACATAACATAAAATAAAATAAAATAAAATAACATATTAACAACCAAACATACAATTTACAAACAATTGATAGGGATGCTTTGTCATTCTGTTACCAAATTTTAATATAAAAGTAGATGTATTCACATAAAGAACATAGACTGAAATGTGTGACAAAAGATACATTAAAATCACTCATTTTCAAATTTTTTATAGATAAATTATATATAAATAAATAAATAAATATAAATATATATATATATATATATATATATAAAATAAAATTTAAAATATATCTATTGTTAAAATTGTAGAAATTGTATAACAGAAACTACTGACATTGATATTAAAGTCCATATACAAGGAAAATACATTGAAGACCTTATTTGTTAAAGCAAAGACACAAATATTATCAGCAAATAAAGACTTCAATATGATAGATCCAAATTCATCATTGTACCTGATAGAAAATGTTTTTTAAAAATGTACATCAAAAGTATTCAAATTAATATGAAAATTATGAAGAAATAAGTCTAGCTACTAAAGTTACATTTTTGTATGATTACTGACTTTTAAATACATTTGTATGAGATTCTTTAGATAAAAAACTATTAAAAAGCTAATTGCAATAAGATTTTTATATTCAAGATGTATGACATAAATTGGTTTTATATTTTAGAATATATATATATATATATATATATATAATTCTATTTCTAAAAAATTGTAGATTTTATAAAAAAGAAAATTCATTTTAAAAATACAAAACATATTTACAAAGTATGTAGGATTGTTTTTGAGACATTAAATAAATATGACGTAATTTTTTTTAAATAGTTGCATATTGAATACTTTATTGAAACAAGTCACATACAAAGTAAAAAAGAAAAAAAGATGTGTCTAGCATCTTAAATACTTATTAAACCAAGTTTATTACAAGACATATAATTCATACATGACATGTAATTCCATACAATAAATGAATATTATATATTTAAACATAAATGTAATAGCTATGTGATTATGCTAATTAATTTTTAAATCAATAATACATGTATTTTAATTTTTTATTCCTAATATTTTACATCATTTAGAAGAATTTAAATATTCTAAAAAAAAAATACATGAAATTCAAAAATAGTAATTGATATTTTTCTTAACTACTAAATGTTAATAATTTAAAATTTAAATTCATGTATGCTTATGTTAAAATTATTTATTTATTTATTTATTTATATTAATATATAATTAATTTTTAATATTCTTTTAAATAAGATAATAAGAAAAATCTTATTACAAAAAAAATTAAATTAAATAGATCCATCCTATTATATCCATTATTAGAAAAATTGATGATCTTTAGAATCCATTATTATTATCATGGCCATCATTCCTATCTTCTTGTTCCCAACTTCTGCTCCTTGTATTTCCAATGAAACAGGACCAGTCTATCTCAAAAATCCAAGATCCTTCTATTCTAAAATAACATAAAATCTTATCACAAAATAGATAGAACAAAACTGAACAGAACTACACAGAATAGGTCATGAAAGACAATTGAGTAGACGGAAAGAAAGTATAATAGATCTGAATAAAAAAAATGCACAACCAAACTTCACTAAGAGAAAGGATTTAAAGCAAAATCTGACCACATGCCTCAAAAGGCCTTGGCCAATCCTATTTATACCTTGTCCTATCTCCTTGGACTTTCTAAAATATTCCTAAGTGGTGGATCCTATCTCTATAACTACCTTAAATTTTTTTTTTAGAAAATTATATGATAGGCCCCACTTAGATAATCACCCTAAATCTTTTTCAAAAGGTTCTATGGTAGACCCCATCTAAATAACCACCCTAAAATCTTCTAGAATATTTTGTGGTGGATCCTACATGGTCCACTAATCTAACTCCAATTCTAGAAACTTCCATGGTTTTAACTATCTATATAATTATCTTTTCTATATCTTGTTATAATTAATCCCCTTCCACTAATGTGGAACGTCCTTGTTTTGATCCTAATGGTATCTTCAAATTGTCCCTTGGCAATAGATGAGGTTTTGTGCATGTTCTCATATTGCATTGTGAATGAAAAAACCTTTCTAAAGAACTTTGAATTGAAGTTGTAGATGTCCACTGCCACGACGAAAGTAGCGATGCTCAAAAATGCTGTCCACTTCATATTCTTATTGGTCATCAACTACAATTGGTGGTGGTAGTAGTTGTTGGCGTTGATCTAG